GCAAATGCGAGGTGATGCATTTTGGAAGATCCAATTCAAGAGCGAACTATATGGTAAATGGAAAAGCCCTGGGGAAAATTGATGCACAGAGAGATCTAGGTGTTCAGGTCCATTGTACCTTGAAGGTGGCAAAGCAGGTGGATAGAGTGGTCAAGAAGGCATACGGCATGCTTTCATTCATCAGACGGGGTATTGAATACAAGAGTTAGCAGGTCATGTTACAGTTGTATAGGACTTTGGTTCGACCACATTTGGAATACTGCGTACAGTTCTGGTCGCCACATTACCAAAAGGATGTGGATGCTTTGGAGAGGGTGCAGAGGAGGTTCACCAGGATGTTGCCTGGTATGGAAGGTGCTAGCTATGAAGAGAGGTTGAGTAGATTAGGATTATTTACATTAGAAAGACGGAGGTTGAGGGGGGACCTGATTGAGGTCTACAAAATCATGACAGGTATAGACAGGGTGGATAGCAAGAAGCTTTTTCCTCCCCAGAGTGGGGGACTCAATTACTAGGGGTCACAATTTCAAGGAGAGAGGGGAAAAGTTTAAGGGAGATATGTGTGGAAAGTTCTTTCCACAGAGGGTGGTGGGTGCCTGGAACGTGTTGCCAGTGGAGGTGGTAGAGGCGGGCACGATAGTGCCATTTAAGATGTACCTAGACAGATACATGAATGGGCAGGGAGCAGAGGAATACAGATCCTTGGAAAGTCGGCGACAGGTTTAGATAGAGGATCTGGATTGGCGCAGGCTTGGAGGGCCGAAGGGCCTATTCCTGTGCTGTAATTTTCTTTGTTTGTTCCTTGAAAAGAAAATGTCTGCAGTCAAGTGTACACCAAACTGGGTAAGGACAGCAGATTTCCTTCTCTACAGTTCATTCATGAGCCAGATCACTTTTTACAAAAAATGACAGTCGTTACTTGGCTGCCATTAGGCCAGCAATTTTTTGAAATTCTGGATTTTTATTGGATTCAAATTTTGCCACCTACCATGATGGGATTCAAATCCACCTCCTAAAGATTCAAATGTTTAGGCAGAAAATTCACTAAAAGTTAGTGCATAGGTGCAAAAGTATAATTAAAAATGTGAATGGAATGTTGAATTTTATTTCAAGGGGGCTGGAATGTAAAGGAGTAGAAAATCTGTTACATTTATATGAAACACTGGTTAGAACCCATTTAGAGTATTCTGTTCAGTTCTAGATGCTACAACTCCGGAAGGAAATGTTGGCCGTGGAGATGGTGTGGTGTAGTGTAGAATCATTAGAATTTCACAGGATTATATGGTACAGATACACAACATTTATCAATATTCATAAATCAAATGTAACTGGTGCAGGTGTGATAGGCTGAATGACACACCTTCTGTGGGAACAATTCTGTGATTCTGTATTATATATAGAGTATAGAAATGATTGTGTTAATTAAATTCTCAATTTGACAACATACAACCTATTGGCACTAATACAAAATGCAGAATGCAGGTAAACCTTTTATTTCTATTTTGAAGGTTAAGGAGACCTGCATTTGCACTGAATCATTTATATGTTGAAATGATCAGAATTGTACAATCTTTTTTATCATTTTATATTTTATGCTTTTTCTTAATGATTGTCCATTTTTTTATTTGTTTGTGGGATTGGACATTGCCGCCCAGGTTGTATTTATTGTCCATCTCTTATTGCCCTTGAGAAGCTGTCTTCTCAAACCACTGCAGCCTATGTGGTGTAGGGACACACATTGTTGTTAGGGAAAAGGTTCCAGGTTCTTAATCCAGCAGCAGCAAAGGAACGGAGAAATATTTCCAACTCAGGATGGTGACTGTCTTGGAGGGGAATTTGCAGGTGGTGGTGTTCTCATGTATCTTATTGCCCTTGTCCTTTTAGAAGGTAGAGGTCATGGGTATGGTAGATACTGCTGAAGTGACCTTCATGAGTTGCTGCAATACAAATTGCAATTGTACACGCTGTTGCAATTGTCTGACCATGGTGGACAAAGTGAATGTTTAACGTGGTGGATCAAACATACTACTTTGTCCTTATTGAAATGTGTCAAGCTTCTTGAGTGTTGTTGAGGCTGGACTCATCCAAGCGTTGTCATGAATCATATTTATTTGGTTTATTGTATTTTCACCACAATTTTGTATTTGCCATCATAATGCTTCTTCAATAAATTAATTGACCCCTAATAATTCCATTCTAGTGTTCATGTACCACTTGAATGATACCTGGTTTATAGGGCTAAATTATGACAACAGGTTCCACAGACTAGTCTTGCCCACGTAAGAATAGAAAATTAAGAATCCCCCATGTGGGGGATGGGTGCAGGGAAGGTGGGGGTTACAGGTAGCCAGATTGGAGGACCTCCTCGTGGTCTGCTTCTGGCTTGGCCAAGGTGGCCACCAACAGGTCCAAGCAGCTGAGCTGTGGAGGGGATCATAGTACCCGACTGTCTGCCCCTGTTCTGTGATTGTATCCACACTTGGGTGCCCAACAAGAGGGAGCATACAGTGTCCGCTCACACAGCAGAGGCCTTTAGAGACCGATGGGCTCTGCAGGAGCTGGGTGCATCATTGCCCTGGATAATATTTTGATTTGATTTTGTTACGTTTCCATTCCTGTCCTGTAAGTTTCTATTGACCAATTGATTTATGTTGCAGTCACAACCCCACCTGGGGCTGTCTGATTTCATGCTTTGCTGAAAAACGTAGAAGGTGGCCCAGTTTAGATGTTTAAGATGAATAAATAAGTTGATAGCGCAGATACAGAGAGAGTATCTCTTCTGGTGAGGACAGCAAATAATTAATATTACAGGTTGGCTGTTCAGGGATGATGTAGGAAGAACGTCTTCACACCAGGGATATCTGAAATCTGGAACTGTCTCCCTGAAATATCAAATGAGGCTTTGATGCCAGTTAGATCTTTCAAAATTGAGAATGGTAAGATTTTTATCCAGTAAGACTAAGATGGGTAAATAGAGTTAAGCTACAAGGTTGAGTATGGTTAAGCTCAAAGGATAAAATGAACTTCCCCTGTTCCTATGTTGCCATAAATAGTCATATGTAACTTGTATAGTGTGCACTAAGGCTCACTTCTTCCTGTGGATCCGAACAAGGTCAGATGATAATCTGCAGAAGTTTAATTCTTTGTTGTACAGAGTATCCACCAGTAGGTGGAGCAAGTGTGATGGATGAATTCTTTTCTTTTCATGGATGTTGCCACCCTCTGCTGGCAGATATTTAGCATTAAACAAATTTAAAGAGAATCTTACCAGGCTCTGAGCAATCTTGGCTATGGTGAGATGAGTGGTAGAATCGGGCAAGATGTTTTGTGAGACCAATCTTGACATTAAGTCATCTTGCTGAATCTTGTATACTGTTCTCAAGCAGCATGAAGATTCTTGCTAGGCAGCGGTGAGTTACCAACTTAAGCTCATCATTGCTTGCTAAGCACCTTGTTAACAGTCCAATGTACAGTGGGTTGCGATTTGACCAAACTCATCATACAAACCGGCCATTGAGAGAACTGATATGGAAACTTGCTGCCTGCTCCAAAGGACCTCCATGCTGGACACCAGGCACCAACATCTAGGGTACACCCCTTGGGCACTGACCACATTGCAGACCATGTCCCCAAACATATACTGGGCTCTATAAACCCTCATGGTGAGAAAACCCGCTTGGTCTCGTGGCAAGAATTGACACCAAATTTGACATGACTCACACTTAGCCAAAAGAAAATAATCCCAATCTTTCTTAGTACATAGAAATAGAGCAGGAGTAACATAAGACGTGGAACAGATGTAAGTCACTTTACTCCCGTCAAGCCTGTTTCTTGATTCAGTAATTCATGGCTGCGGTGCTTGTGGTCTCAACTTCACATTCCTGTCTGCACCCTATAAACCTTAACTCCCTTGTCCATCAAAAATCTATCCAACTCAACCTTGAATAAATTTGAAGATTCTGTCTCGGCAGTACTCTGGGAAGAGACTTGCACAATCTAATGACTCTTTGAAAGAGAATAAAAAGTTCCCCATTTTTGATCACATAAGAGGAAACATCCTCTGAGAATCTACAATCCCTTCAATTAAATTCCAAATTCCTTTGAAGAAGTCTCCTACTGGACTTGAATCATTGAGTCTGTTTCTCTCATCACAGATGCTGCCAGACCTGCTGGAGTTTCTCCAGCATTCTGTTTGTCTGAGATTTCCAACATCTGCAGTATTTTGTGTTTATTCAAGTCCCCTATCTAGGTTCGCTGATGAAGCAACTAGATGGGAATATAAATTGTGAGAAGAGGTTGCAAAGGGATACATTTAAGTGAATTGTCAATAAGGAGGCAGAGTATAATGTGAGGGAGTGTGAGGTTATTTGAGAGTACCTAGAGAGTAAGAACAGGAAACCAGAATATTTTTTAAAAGGCATGAAAAGTGTAACTGCTGATGTTCAGATAAACTTCAGTACTCTTACAAAGAACACAAAGTTAGATTGCAGGCACAGTGTTAAATTAAGAAAGCAAATAGCACATTAGCCTTTATTGTAAGGGGTTTGGAGCATAAGAATGAAGAAGTCTTGCTACAACATATAAGGACTTCAGTGAGACCACACCTGGAATACCATATGCAGCTTTGCTCTTCCTTTTTATTTATTCATTTATGGCATGTGGTTGTTGCTGGCTGGCCAGCATTTATTGCCCAAATGTCTGTCTTTCTAAGTAATTAATGTCCCATCTGCAAAACTACAAGAACAATCCAAGTTGTTTTGAGAATGGATTATCAGCAGAGGACTGGGAAACAGAGACATTTTCCCATTTCTCTGGATCAGGAGCACACCCATTCTTTGAGTTATGAGTAGTTGAGGAATCTCAGGGAAAATAAAATAATGAGACTGGAGATTTCGTTCCAAACAATAGTAATGACATTCCTTTGTATAAGCAACACATTTTTTATTAGATGCTTGCTCTTATATACATGAAGCCCAACCCTTTGTCCCCTTTATATCTACTGTATCTTCTGATTTGTACTGAGGCCAATGTCTGATGACATGTTTGCTTGACACATCCACACAATCAAAGTAGTTCAAGTTTAATTTTGAGGCCAGTCTCATTCCTAACTTTTCAAGCTTCTGAAAAACAAACAATTGTGATAACCCAATGAGACTTGATTTTCCTTTTAGAAATGAACTTCAGTATGGCTTTGAAGAAGATGGATATTACAAATTACTTTCAGAGGGCACTAGCCCCTGCTAGGGTAAAGTTAAAAGGAATGGAGTATTAAAATAGGGAAATCTTGCGAAATCCATACAAGGCACTACTTAGACTGTACCTAAAATACTATGAAAGGCTTAGGTCCTCTTAATAAGGGAAGATAGACTGGTTTAGAAGCAGCTCAGAAGGTTCACAAGATTGATTCTGGGTACAGAGGGATTTTCTGATGAGGAGACATTGAGTAAGTTGGACTTGTACTCATTGGGGTTTAGGCAAATAAGAGAAGACTTTATTGAAACATAATTATTGGGGATATTCTGGTATTATTTTCCCCTTACGGTTCTGAGGAAGGGTCACTGGACCCAAAACATTAACTCTGACATTTTCTTCACAGATGCTGCCAGACCTGCTGAACTTTTCCAGCAACTTCTGTTTTTGTTCCTGATTTATAGCATCCACAGTTCTTTTTCGGTTTTTACAAGAGCAGGATGTACTTCTGAGACTGTTTATGGCTCTGGTCAGACTGCATTTGGAATGTTGTGAGCAGTTTTGGACCCCATATCTAAGGGCAGATGTGTTGGCATTAGATGGATTTCAGAGGAAGTTTACAAGAATGATTTCCAGATATGAAGGGCTCGTCATATGAGGAGCACTTTATACTTTATGGAGTTTAGAAGGATGAAGGGGGATCTGATTGAAATTTACAGAATACTGTGAGGCCTGGATAGAGTGAACATGGAAAAGATGTTTCCATTAGTAGAAGAGATTCAGACCTGAGGGCAGAGCCTCAGAATGAAGGGATGACCCTTTAGAATGAAGATGAGGAAATTTTACAGCCAGAGGGTGGTGAATCAGTAGAACTCACTGCCACAGAAAATTGTGGAGGCCAAGTCATTGAGTCCATTTAAGGCTGGATGGCCTAATCCTGCTCCTATATTTTATTTTCTTAATCAGTAAGGGAATCGAGGATAATGGGAATAAGGAGGGAAAGTTGGGTTGAGGATTTAGATCAGCCATAATCTCTTTGAATAATGGAACAAACTTAATGGGTTGAATGGCATACTTCTACATTTATATTTTTGATCTTGTTGCCCACATTCAGGCTCCAGATTCTCAATTCTCCAAATCTCTTCTGGTAAGCCAGTCAACCAAGTTGAAGGCTCAAACTCAAACCCAACTTGCCCAGCATTGATGAAGGCTGCTTCAGGTGAGGTCAACCAATGCAACAGAGAACAAGCCTGTATTCTCTGGCTGTCTTGGTGGTTGGGACCCCTTCTGATTTTAAATTTCCTCTTGTGATACTTTATCCTAATACGCTGTAGGATTCAAAATATGACTAATGAGATATTATATCTGGTAAGTATAGTATATTGGAGAGGAACACTGACTTTCTTAAATCATAGAATCCCTACTGTGCGAAAGCAGGCCGTTCAGCACATCAAATCCACACTGACCCTCCAATGAGCTTCACACTGAAATCCATCCCCACACTCCCTGCTACCCTATCCCGGTTACTCTGCATTTCCCAAAGCTAATCCACCTAGCCTGCAGGCCTCTGGACGCTGTGGGCAATTTAGCATAGCCAATCCACCTAACCCACTCAGCCTTGGACTTTTCTTGGTCTTTTATCATCCAATATTTACAAAGAACTATGAAGTCAGAGCTGGACCATGTTTAAAGGTGATGAAAACCAAAAGAACTGCGGATGCTGTAAATCAGGAATAAAAACAAAGTTGCTGGAAAAGCTCAGCAGGTCTGGCAGCATCTGTGGAGGAGAAAACAGAGTTAACATTTCGGGTCCGGTGACCCTTCCACAGAACTGAGGAAGGGTCACCGGACCCGAAACGTTAACTCTTTAAAGATGATGAGTTTGAGGTAGTGAAGCACAAAAGAGATCATCAAGTATTTCCTAGACAACAAGGTGCAGGGCTGGATGAACACAGCAGGCCGAGCAGAGAGGCTGACGTTTCGGGCCTAGACCCTTAATCAGAAAAGCTTTTTTTCCGGAGGGAGGAGGGTAACTTCTTCAGGCTAGGCATCCTTAGAAGAGGCTTCGCAGTGGGGTTAAAATTGAATCAGAGATAGTAGGAACTGCAGATGCTGGAGAATCCGAGACAACAAGGTGCAGGGCTGGATGAACACGGCAGGCCAAGCAGCATCATAGGAGCAGAGAGGCTGACGTTTCGGGCCTAGACCCTTCATCAGAAAAGCTTTTTTCCGGAGGGAGGAGGGTAACTTCTTCAGGCTGGGCATCCTTAGAAGAGGCTTCGCAGTGGGGTTAAAATTGAATCAGAGATAGTAGGAACTGACATGTTTCTCCATCTCATTCTCCTGCCTTCTCCCCATAACCCTTGACCTGCTTACTAATCAAGAACCTCTCTATTTCTGAAGAAGTTACCCTCCTCCCTCCGGACTATCCGCCTCCCACTCTCTCCCTATTTATTTCAGAACCCCCTTCCCCTCCCCCTTTTCTGATGAAGGGTCTAGGCCCGAAACGTCAGCCTCTCTGCTCCTATGATGCTGCTTGGCCTGCTGTGTTCATCCAGCCCTGCACCTTGTTGTCTCAGATTCTCCAGCATCTGCAGTTCCTACTATCAAGTATTTCCTGTTTACTTCATAGAACATAGAACAGTACAGCACAGTACAGGCCCTTCGGCCCACGATGTTGTGCCAAACTTTTACCCTAAACCTAAGGTCTATCTAACCTCCACCCCCACCTTGTACTATCATCCATATGCCTATCTAATAGCCACTTAAATGCCCCTAATGAGGCCGACTCCACTACCCTCTCCGGCAATGCATTCCACGCAGTATGTGTTCAAACCTGATCTGACATTTGTACCAGTTTTGGTGTACGTTTACCCCATATAAATGCAAATAAAATTTACCTCTCGATTGCTGGAGAATTTGATGCCAGTCAGACTTAGTACTTCAATGTAAGTTCCATTCAGGATCATTTTATAGTAAAACTTTCCCTGTCCTGGAAAAGGCCATTAGAGAAGTTCCATAGTTATATTTAAAAATTAAAAATGGCAATACAATATCAAGCCCACCCCTGCTGTTTAGTCTCATGGTCAGAAAACGTCAGTGTACTTTTAAGGGTCACGGTATGTCAGCGTACTTTTAACAGACATTCTCATTACATTATCAGTGTATCATAGCATATGATTTAAGGACATAAAGGTCACATATTCCATCTTACTCTTGGGATCACTTGAAGAATGGCACACTACTGGATGAATGCTGCTCTGTGTAACTCACTAGCTTAATGTTAGCTCAGAATGAAGTGCCTGTGAAAGTAATGTTTGTACATGATAGCTGGTGGTAATAAGCATCTGTTGGATTCGTCAATACCACAATATACCTCCTCAGTTTATATTGTAGGAGATAACACAAGCATTGCCACATCAAGTAAAATAACCTGTTGAAGGCAAAATCATATCATCAGTTGCATGCATCTATCAACCCTACCATGGACTCCAGCCCATTTATCAATCTTTACCCACAGTCACCGTACTACCTCCTGTTTGATAAACTTTACCTCATCCACCAATCTTCTCCCATTCAGCAGGTATAATTATAATTCCCTTTTTTTTGATATTCTTTTGAAGAGTTTCCATATGTTTCCATCCCTATTTGGCTTTGAATAGCCAGTTTGGAGGGCAGTTAAGAGTCAACCATTTTGATGAATTAACCATCTGAAAGGCCAGACCAAGTCACGGGAGCAAATTTTCTTTCCTAAAGAGAGTGTTAGTGAATCTATTGGATTTGTAATGACAATTAAAGATATCTTCATGGTTACCTTTACTGTGATCAGTCTTTTTTGATGCCAGGTTTTATTAATTAATTTTCAATTCCACGAACTGCCATGATGGAATTTGAACCCATATCCCCAGTACATTAGCCTGGGCTCCTGAACCATTAGGCCAGTGACTTTGACTATGCCACCATCTCACCCAATTAGGATGAAGGAAATGCTGTGGTCTTGCTTGCCTTTTGAGGTGAAATGGATGTCAGCTGCTGATCTCGATACCTGTAAATAATTGTAAGTTATTTGGGAATTCAGGTGCAGAAATTAACTTGAGCTCCTATGTATGGGAGTAGACAGAAACTATGCTTGTTGAGTTTGGAGGTGTATCTCTGCAAATAAATGCTGATAAAATGTAAAAATTAGCTGCCTGTTCAATCCTTGATCAGTGAATGAGGAAGGGCAGACATGGTAAGAATGCACTGTCTCCAACATATTTTCCAATAGAAATCACTAATTACATGCAAGTACAGTCGAGATGACACTGATTTTAGTCGAAAACTCACATAAATTGTGTGCTTTTTATGAGTATATTAATCAAACAAATGTTTCCCACCATTAAAATGAAAGCTTGGGGCATAACTGTTTTCCTACCCAATGCCTCAACCAATCACTTAGTACCATTGTTCCCTCTGAAATTTGGTATTCTTGCATCTGTCCTGATGAGTGCAAGAAGAAAAACTTCAACTGCCTGTCTTATTTTTAGCTGTAATCAATTTCTATCTACTGCGTGACCCATGAGTTAAAAGTATGTTCACACATATGTAAATGAGACCATGCACACATGATGGTAGCATCTATTTATTATTCAATACTCAGACGTTCAATATTATTTCTGGATTCCCAATTATTCACATCTGAATTCAAAATTAACCCATTCCAGAGTTTCTATTATACACAACTGAATTCTAAGTTAGCAACATCTGGATTCTCAACTAACCATATCTGGATGCATAACTTAACCTACTCCAAAGTTTCATTTGTTCACACTTGGATTGCTAATTAACCACAACTGGTTTCTTTATATACCTGTTCCGGATTTCCTATTATCCATACAAATCTTTTTAATTAGCTATAAAATAACTGGTAGCCAATTTTACAAGACAGCACACTCCTCAGATGTTCTAGGGCCCGGGACAAGAGGTACATCAAGGCTCGATAACTGGGGTGCTGTGCTTGGGTTGGCATGGAGGGCACTGCATTTGGGTTGTAATGGAGGGCACTGAGCTTGGGTCGGGGTTAAGGGGTCAGGTCAGTTGCAGCACAGGGGCCTATGATTCTGTTCCTGCTCCTGGGAAGAGATGTGCTACAGATCATTCAGGAGCCTGGCTTGCTGTAGCAACATGCTGTTTTATTTGCACGCTATATCTGGAGATTTTTGGATAGATATGGTAGAGGTTCCAACATTTTTTTATATCATCTTGTTCTTACTGCCTGCCATAGGTTTGTCTTGAGAATTTGTAGATTCATAATCAACTTGTTTCGCCACATTCTGAATATGCTTTGCTTGGCTATCAAGATGGGAGACAAATCCGAAGTTTCTGGATCAGAAGTAGGGATGCTATTCATTGTACCACAGGGCCTCCTCTCTTCAGAGGATGAGATACCTATTTGGCATCTTAAAGGTACATGACCAAGCCACATGAATGTGGGTGGGGGTATGATATAGCTTCTTTCTTACACAAACCACTTTTGCTGAGCTGAGCAATGTGCAGAGACAGGGATTTGAAATCTGGAAGTCTGCGGGGCTATATTTCACTCACCGGTTTTTTGGATCTTGAGCCTAATGTAGATTTCATCCAGGGTGCCCTTGCGCTGAAGGTAACGATGGATGTAGAACTCATACATGTCCTCATTCAAGTCAATGATGAGATTTCTCCTACCAATGGATGTGAGTATGAGCCATAAAGCCAGGAGAACCAGGAAGATGAAGAATCCAGCAAATTGCAAGTTGCCCTGAAATCAAAGGCACAGAAAGTGAGTTTTGGGGGAGGATGGAGAAGCAAGGAAGAATGCCTTCATTCTTCTTTTATGTTTTGTAAAAGAGTTACAGCTTCATTCAAAACATTTCCATACTCTCTTCTATTTTACATTCAATGCCCAGAAACGTTGTGTCCATGCCGGTTGTTATGGCCCAAAGAGTAACAACCCTAATATACCTTACGGCTTGACTGGGTAAATGCTAAGCGGACTTTTCCCCTCATGTGAGAGTGTAGGATCAGATGGCACGATCTGAAAATAAAGGGGAGCCAATTTCACACTGAGTTAAGGAGAAATTTTGTCTCTTCTAGTGTTGTATTTGGAACTCGTTACCACAGAGAGCTGTGGGAGCAGAGTCCTTGTGTATATTTAAGGCTGAGATAGATAGATTGATAGATTCTTGATCAGTGTGGAATCAAGGTTTATGGGGAAAAGGCAGGGAAGTGGAGATAAGGAATGTCGGATGAGCCATGATCCTATGAAAAGGCGGTGCAGGCTCGAAGGGCTGAATGGCCTATTCATGTTCTTATCTCTTATGGTCCTGTTAGAATTTTATAGGTTTCTATGAGATCCCCTCTCATTCTTCAGAACTCCAGTGAATATAATCCTTACCGAGTCAAACTCTCATCATATATCGAACTTGCTATCCAGGAAACAGTGTGGTAAACCCATGTGGCATTCCCTCTCTAGCAATCAGTGCATCAGCAAAACTTCAATTAGCATTCTTTCATGTTTTTTCATTCATGGGATGAGGCCACTGCTGGCTAGACTAGCATTTATTGTCCACACCTAATTGCCCACAAAGCAGTTAAGAGCCCAACCACATTGCTATGAGTTTGGAGTCACATGTAGGCCAGATCAAGTAAGGATGGTAATGTCCTTCCCTAAAGTGGTAGCCATAAGGTGGAGGTGCCAGCGTTGGACTGGGGTGGACAAGGTCAGAAATCACACGACACCAGGTTATAGTCCAACAGGTCTATTTGAAAACGCAAGCTTTTTGAGCACAGCCCCTTCGTCTGACAAATGGGTTACATTCCGAAAGCTTGTGTTTTCAAATAAACCTGTTGGGTTATAACCTGGTTTCATGTGATTTCTGACCTAGTCCTTCCCTAAAGGACATTAGTGAACCAGGTGGGTTTTTCCCGATGATTGACTGATTGATTGACAATGGTTTGATGGTTATCATTAGATGTTTAATTCCAGATTTTTATTGAATTAAAATTCCACCATCTGCCATGGCAGGATTTGAACCTGGGTCCCCAGAACGTTACCTGGGTTTCTGGATTAACAGTACAGGAATAATACTCCCCATAAAGCAACTTTAAGGTGGAAAAACATCCTCATTTGCTGAAAAGGAATGTTATGAAATAAATGTTTTCACATAAAGACATTAGGACAAGTGTGGCAAGCTTTAACAGGCTTCTTAAAGGAGGAGAGAGAGAGAGAGATCTAAGGGGGGAAATTCTAGACTTTAGGGCTGAAACATCTGAAGGGTAGTCTCCAATGACAATTAAAATCAAGGATTCTCAAGTACCCTAGCTGAGGCCTAACCAGTAATTTATAAAGAGATAACAAGGTGTACAGCTGGATGAACACAGCAGCCAAGCAGCATCAGAGGAGCAGGAAGGCTGACATTTCGGGCCTAGACCCTTCTTCAGAAAACTTCTTCTCCATTTCTGAAGAAGGG